AGTAATGGAACGATAAGGAATAACAATGCGAGCGGTGTCGCGCACGGAGCTTCAGAAATAGAGTCACTAAACAATAACTTCATTTCACCTGAGGGGCTTTTCATAGTGGGTCGTTACTCCGTGTTACGATAGAGCGAATAAAATGAGGAAAACGATGAAAAGACGAGATGACGGAGTACGAAGGGAGGGGGAGGGGTTAGGAGGGCACAACAGGGCAAAGCACGCATGAAAAAATTAGACAGAAGACCTAACGAATTCGCTAGAAAATTCTAGTGGAATTCTATAGGATTTCTATTGGAATGCTATTGAAAAATTCTACTTGTTTTCTGCGTTGATTCTATTTCATATTTAACGGGAAAAAATCAATATACTTTGAATTTCTGTTTGAATTTTTCTCTTGAGGTTTTTTCTATTAGAATTATTGGGCACAAATTTTCCAAGTTTTTTTTTTACAAAATCCGAGCTGAAACAACTTGGAAAATTGATGCCCAAGCATTCTTACATGGAAAAAGAATATACCTGAATTGAGTATAAAATATACTTGATACAAGTATATTTCATAAAATATATTTTATAAAAACAAAAGCTCTTATAAATATATTTTTAATATAAGTGTTTCAATTCGAGGATGATTATTTCGTATCAGCCGCGGTTGTACCAAGCGCTCTCAAGTGTAATATAAGAGTCAGACACAAGTGTGAGAATATAAGGGTCAAAAAGTGGAGGTTAAAAAATGAGGGTCGGAATGTGAGAGTCATAAACTGAGGGCCTGAATGTAAAGGTGAAGGAATTAGGGTCAGAATATAAAAGTAAAAAAAGTGGGTGTCAGGCAATGAGGGCCATATAAGGGCTACTGACGGTGATCAAGCATAATATATGACTTATATTTAGACCCTCATTGCCTGACACCCACTTTTTTTACTTTTATATTCTGACCCTAATGTTTTGACCCTAATATTCTGACACTTAGTGCCTGACCCTTATATTACACTTAAGAGGGCTTGCTACAACCCGGCCTGATACAACAGAATCATCTTCGAATTGAAATACCCATTCCTCAATTCAGGTATATTTTTTTCTGTGTATAGAAAAAATTTCAAGATAAAAATTCAAACAGAAATTCGAAATTTATCGACTTTTTTCTTCTCGAATATCCAATAGAATCAGCGTAGAAAACAAACCGAATTTTTCAATAGAATTCAAACAGAAATCCTATAGAAACCCCATAGAATTCCTATAGAATTTTATAGCGAACTCGCTAGATTTTCTATTGAACGTTTTCGTACATGAATAAGCTATTATAGCCGAGTCTTGAGTCAACGCAGTCTGAGGGAGTTCAAAAACCTCCGGCTTCTAAATATTTAGAGCATAACCCGGTCTTTCCCGCCTCAATCTGGTCCAGATACCACTCATGCACTCTCTGCACACGAAAAATTCTTCCTCCACTGCATATGTCGTAAAAATCTCAAAACCGTATCCCCACGGCGGTTTAATTTTCGACCATGGCGAACTACTGTAAATCATCCACCCTGAATATATTTTTTTTTCATCTTCATCTCTTCATGTTTGACAATTTATTCTCACACTTTTTGCTTCTCGCCCCACATTTTCAACTCTGGGAAATGTATTTTTGGGGGAAATGAAAGGCGGAATGAGTTTGGGTAAACTAATAAAAAATGGGGGGATCATTTCTATTTGGAATGTTTCATGGGGTTTGCACGTTCTGGGAAAATAAATGAACGTAAATAATTCTTGGTTCATGTGCGGTAATTTTAAAGTGGATTATTGCGAACTGTGACTGGGGAATTATGTCAGTGGATGTAATCGCTTGAGGCCGTTTCTGGACGGTTACGTCAGCGTTTGTGTGTCGATGCAATCACGGAAAAAAATATACTTGATTCAAGTATATTATTTTTAATTTGAGTATATAATATATTTGATTCAAGTATATTATTCTTGGTTCGAGTATAAAATATACTTCTGCGAGAGAACAATAGATTCCCCTCCGTCTCACCTCCAACATGTACAGAGAGAAGAATTCAATAAAAATTATCAGAAAAAAACGTAAGAATTATGTTTCGAAGTCGGAACTGAAATTATACGAATCGCCACGTAAATTCTACGATTTGTTCCGTAAAAATTAACCACCCGTCTGATGACTCACCGCTGTTGGGACAAGTCGTTCCGTAATTTTTCCCCAACGATTGAGAAATTTTACGGAACGGAACGTAGAAATAACTCACCAGCTTCATAAAAATTGTTGAACGTTCAAGAATTTTTGATTTTGGAGGCATAATAAGTCGGCAAGTTTCTGTAAGATTTTACTTCTTCGGAAAAAATTACGTGACAATTTTGTACTGTGTTCGGTGATGATCCTGAGAATTCACTGAACGTTTCAGATTTCTTCTCTTCTATTCCCATAAAAATTGCCGGAAAACGACTTCCCATTGCGAATTACGTGAATTGTTCCGTAATGTTTACTGAATATTTCTCTTCATGTGGCCACCCGGCCATAAATACCTTCACGGAGAGAAATATTCAATAAAAATTACCAGAAAAAAGACGTAAAAATTACGTTCCGAAACGTAATCTGGGAGCGAAGTAAAATTCCATGAGTCACCGTGAAGGGGAGATTCTGATTGGGTAAACATTTTTGCAAATAAAGCTCCCACAATTTGGTTCGAAAATCTGGAAATTGAAAATATTCAGTAGTAATACCCCAAGAGCTTCAAAAGTATCGGGTACTTCCCGATAGCTTCGTTGCAAAGAAATGAGGGTGTCAAGTTCTGCAGGTTAAAAATTTTTCTGCAAAACTTGGCACGATGATTTGTTTGCAGGGGAGCTTGAGGGAAACACCCGATTAATTTTGAATCGCGAGGGGTATTTGTCGGATTATTTTTCCCAATCGGATTTTGGCCAAGCAGAGTGCAGTGGACAACATCAGGAGGTGAATTGGGGAAGATTTGAACAAATTATGTTAATAGAATAACCCGATTTCCATAGACTGTCATATATAAGATTTTATCTGAAATGAGCCGAAAAAATGAAGAGCTACTGCGAAATATTCAGTTAAAAAAAAATGAAGAACTACTGCGAGATCTATTATAATGCAGTCTACACGGAATTTTCGTCGGGGATAACACAGTCTCAAATGGTGGAATGAACGCTCTTGGATTTATTTTAATACGTATTTTTTCGGCTTTAGCTTGCTTCTGAGAAATGATAATAGAGAATGACCTTTTGTACTGTCCACATGTTTCCGCACAAACAGGGTACGCCGTGACCCCAACAATCTTGATACCAGAACTCCGAATTACACTCGCTTCGTCAATTTGTAAACAGAATTATGCGATCCGTTGGGGGAAATTAGAACAATAATCATTCCCGTGGTTTCCATTCATCTTTATCCTCAAGTACGGCAGGGAAAAAAATCCCAATTTCACGGCCTGCAAGCATAACCCATAGATGAGATTATAAATAGATCCGTTGGAGGTTTTTAAATGGGGGATGTGTTGGGAAATATGTTTTTCGGGTCTGGGAGTTTACGGTGAATGTGAGGAACTGCAGAGTGTGGAAATAAAAACGCACTTCAGAATTCATTTCTAAACAGTATTGGGATGATTTGGGATTGATATCGAGAGTGATTTTATGATGCACTGTTAGACAAAAATTTAAATTTCAAGGATGACGAGAAAAAAATCTATTTTTTAGGAACATGTAACTGATGTCCAGGGACATGCCACTAATTTTTAGGGATCTATCACCAATTATTAGTGATAAAAGTTTCCTACAAATAAAACTTTTAAAAAGTTTAACCCTCGATTTTACCCCGAAGACTTACTTTTTCCCATTTTAATAAGATAAAATTCCGCACTCTCTTTTTTGTATTTTATTTTTGCCCACAGCAATTATATCCCGAAAAATATAAAATTTTAGGTATTTATCGAACATTAGAAGTACTATCTGAAGAATTTTTTTATCTTCAATTTTTCTCAGATACATTAATTTTACGTCATAGAAGCGCATGAGCGCGCCGTCAGACTAGTAACATTGAATTCGTTATAAAGGAAAAAGAATCTGAAAATTTTAATTTTCACCGACAATTCAAGGAAATTTCACATTTGTAGGCAGCAGACAAACACGAATTCTCCAACGCACTTGAATGTTCAATCTAAACATGAATATTCAGTACTTCATTTCACTGAATTTTCAAGCAATTAAGAATTCAAGAATATATTCACCTGAATTTTTTAAATTTGGATTAATTTTCATGGAATATTGGCCTGAAATTTATCGTCTCGATGATTTCTCCATAAAATGTCAATTTTTTAATGAGGAAATATCTTAGGAAACAAAATATGATGAAGAATTCCAAGAAGTTTACTGGAAATTTCGGCCAAAAAATTTCAACAGCATGTCCTGAATAGCAAATGATTTTGACAGAAAATCACAAGACACCTTCTTTGTAGTCGAGACAATTGTTTATGAAAAAAGTTGTTTTCAAATTTTGCCTTCATTTGAATTAAATAACCTTTATTTTAATGAAATAACTAGATTTTCACATGCGTTTTATTCACATCCTCTAAATGATTTTTTAAAATCATGAACAAAAGTTTCCTTCATCCAAATGAATAGTTGATTAGAAATTAGAAATAAGAAATTAAAAGTTAGCAATAAAATATACGTTTAGACATCATATGTTCATAAAAATATTATTCAATAGAAAAATTCTCATGAACGAGTTATATTTCATTCAATTGCATCATTTCCCTAGGTGTAGTTCCCCTAGAGAAAGTAAATTGCAAATTGAGACGTTATTTTTCATAAATAATTGACAAACAATTTTGATAATTTATTTATGAACAGGAAATGTGGAAAAAAATTAATAGATTATTAATTAATTAATCCTGACAAATTATTCAGCATTTGTCGTTTAATATTAAATTTCATCTCTGAAGAGGGCAATGAATAATTATTTTTCCTTCTAATTATACTTCCAGGTGTGTCACGACAACTACAAATGTAACTGCAAAGGAATAAAAGGAACCCCTGGATTCCCAGGTATCGCTGGTCCCCAAGGTCCCTCAGGATCCCCAGGAGACGATGGACCGGAAGGGCCCCTCGGACCAAAAGGTGAAAAAGGAGCTGGGGGTGAGCCCGGTGGAACCGGTGAAAAAGGTCACAGAGTGAGTACCAAAAATGTATATGATATTTACCCAAAACCAACAGAATCCCGTTGAAAATCCGTGAAAACACGGGACCCTAAAAAAATTCGCCCAAAGGGAACGAGAGCACTTCTCTTTATACTGAAGCACGGAAAATGCACACACGTCTATTGGTTGCGCTTGCGGAAATTAAAGTACAGCTGTGTGACGATTAAAAATAGTTTTCAGGAGGCAATATAAAATCGTTGGGAATGCACGAAAGCTCACAATTGCTTTCACAGCTGCCTCAAGGAATTTTCGTGTTACTTCACCCAACAATATCTGAATTATTACATCCATAAAAGCTGCAGCGAGCCTCAAACACCAAAATTCCTATAAAAAGTTGAACCTTTCCCTTAATAACTCGACCCACATTTAATTTACGAATGAGATTCTGTCGTAAAAATCAAAACTTCAAAGTGATTAATCTACGACATTGAGTATTATTCCATATCTGTAATGACTTCCGCGTTATGTTAATGGGATAAAAATGTGTCACAACCCATTCACAGTTACACTAGGGCATTTGAAGTTCCCCACGCGCTATCGCATAATTGCACGGCCAGAAAAATAGTTAATGAAGCTATCGGAAGTTTTATCGCCTCTATGATACCCACAATGTGTCTCCACATCCTCGAAAAAATAAATAGTGAGGCCTCGAATGCTCAGAAATAATAAACTAGATGATCTCAATGCGATTGGTAGTAATACGTGGGTGTGAATGAGTCTAGCAGATGTCCTTTGTTAAAAAATAGGTGAAATATTTTTGGCCAGCAATCTATTTCGCCAAATATACACTGTTAGAAAAAAAAAGAAATTTCGTCGGCAGTTGACTACTAATTTTCAGAAGAGTGATACTGAATGCGATTTAGGGGTGAAGCTGAAACTAGCAGAATATTCGTCAGCGGAAAATTCAATTTCGGGGATATTTAAGTGTAGGAGAGTCAAATAATCATATGTAAAATGTTTTTTGAGTGAGAAAGAGTTTGTACATTACTCAAAAACATTTGTACACCCCTAGATTCGCCTACGACAAAATTTCTGCTGTCGAATTTTTTGCTAGATTCAGCTTCATGATTTAGGGAAAAAAATCATGAATTTTCAAGTTGCACTGAAAATTTAGACAAAAATTTTTAACAGTGTATGCTAGATTTGTGAATAAATAAATAAATAAATAAACTTATGAATACATAACATACAATATATATAAGATATTTATGATATATATTTATTGATATATTTCAAAAAAAATTTAAAACAGACGAACGGAACAAGTACAGTTGAAAAATTCGAATATTCCAATTTCAAAAAAAGTTGAACCTTTGGATATAATAAAAATGCTTATGGAAAAAATCGAACAATAACGTTTTGAAATGGAAATTGAAAGACAAAAACAAAACAAAAAAGAATATATTTATTTCCACACTTGGATAATGGGACCGATTTCACTCTTCGATCGTATAAATTTTTGAGGACCATTTTTCATTTTTTTTCTTAAATAGAACTATAATAAAAGCGGACATAAACTTTTTTTTAATAAATAAATGAATACGTAATGATAAAAAATAATACGTATAAATCACTAGCCAATCATGCGCGCCCCCTTTCCTAGTATCAGAAAAAGAAGAATGCGTTGAGGAAGAGGAAAGTTAATGAAGATGGGGTATCGCGCGTCAGGATCAATACAAATTGTATCAACTCATGAGGAATCACGATGGGCAGTCTCTCTTCCATTAACACTCATCAGTCTGCGAGCCTGGCAAACAACTTTACGAGTAGTGAGAACATCAACATCAACACGAGACCGAGAATGGTTGAGACGGAAAGGATGATTGAATGACGTAAGTTTGTATGAATGCACATGAGTGCAATTCGCGGGGACTTGTGCAAGCGGTGTGGTTCGGCTACTTCAGTCTGCCTCGGCGAATATATATAATATTTTAAACGATCGTAGATGTCAATTGCCGTAGGAGTCACGAGACGCTTTTGTTAGAGCGATCTTTTCTGCGATTTGCGATTGAATGTAATTCAAAGTATTGTAGGCGGGGAACAATTTAGTATTTATGGGGCACTTTGCATTGGTATCAGTCCGAGGGATCTTTCAATGAATGCGGAATATTTTAATTTATTCAGTTTCGTTTCGTCGAAGTTGTTTGAAGGGGTTTTGAGGAATTTGGGGGTGAAATCAAATGGGTGGTTGGGGTGATGAAGAAAACCAAGTGATTGGGTGGATTTTTCATCCACTTGGGGATAGCTTTTATTAAAAGGACGGGGGACCATACGAATAAATATTCGGAGGATTCGCGACTGCATTTCGTTGTGTAGCTCGGCTTACATCAATTTTTTTTTAATGACTTATGTTCAGAGTTTGAAGATTTAGATTGCGGGTTGTGGTGGAATCAATGATTTGTGATTGGATGAAATTCAAAATACTATAGACGCATAGCGATTCAGTTAGTGATGCCGTCGAGACCAGTCGAGAATTATTTTGAAGAGATCATCACACGGAGAGAAGTATTCAAGAAAAATTACGGAACATTTCACGTAATCCGCAAGCGAGAATCGTTTTCAGTGAATTTCTATGGGAATATAAGAGAATAAATCTGAAACGTTCAGTAAATTTTCGGGTCTGTCACCGAAAAAATACGAAAAAGTCACGTAATTTTTCTGGAAGTTGTAAAATCTAACAGAAACTTCAAGACTTATTATGCCTCAGAACATGAAAATTCTTGGATGTTTAAGAATTTTTACGAAAAGTTCCGGAAAAATTACGGAACGTGTTGTTAAAATCTCCCCCTCACGGTGACTCATGGCTAGCCGTGAGGCGTCGGACGGATGAGTAATTTTTACGGAACAGATCGTAGAATTTACGTGACGATTGACACTTTTTATTGAATTTTACTTCGTTCCCAGATTACGTTTCGAAAGGTAATTTTTACGTCTTTTTTCTGGCAATTTTTATTGAATATTTCTCTCCGTGCACGGTCTGGAGAAACAACGAGTTTTGGAATCATCGCAATCTCGAAAACCATTGGATCGGTGCATCTCGTCACAATTCCAGGAGGATTTATGTTGTCTAGATCTCGAGATTTTCGGTTTTTCAAGTTCACGAGACGAGACGAGAACATAAACATTCGGGAGGCGATAAAAGTGCCGAGACTAGGGGTAGACCTCGAACGCTCGGAGCGCGAGGTATCTTATACGAAGCCACTACTATACCTTACACTGAGAAAAAAATATAATTCTGCCCATCAAATATTCTTTAAACAACCAAATGACAGAAACTTACACACAAAATATAGCTTTAAATTCTTGTCCAAAGAATGTTTGATTGGCAAAATTATATTTTTTTCTCAGTGTAAAATTGTAAGATTAATACGGAGGTTCATGAATCAAGGGATAATTAGTAATTAACATTAATTCACAGAATTAGGGGGCGATCTCTCGAGAAAGAGATGTCAGTTTCAGATACACCATTTAAATGGATTTAAGAGTTCAAAAATTACCCATGACGTATCAAGGGGTCAGTACAGAGGAAGAAAACGCTAGGCACTAAGCAGATTGGTGACCACATGAGATGAAAAGTTCGTTCCACGTAAGATAGTGATCAACTTGCCTTCTTGTATCGAGTGATAACATTATTTTTTCTGGATGAGTGGATTCATGGATTATACATTCGAATTTAGAACTCTGCAATCCTCTTGGAACTATTTATAATTAATTGACTATATTTGTTCACATTCATAAGTTTATTTTTATTAAAAATCTTACAATTTCGATGAATGAACAAATTTTTAATAAAATGAATGTCCATAAGACAAGTTTCTGCCTTAATAAATTAAATAGATATCTATTAGAAAAAGATCTTCTGATGCACTTCATCAGACAATCGTCAATACCGCAGTAATTAATTTAATTCAGACCAATTATTCCCACCGAGACGTTCAACATCTCGAGCTCTCCCAGGTTTTATTTCCTAATTCATTTCTTTGGAGAGGAAAACATCAAAAGGAAATGAACGAAATATGGCGTATCTCAATAGAAAGTTGTTACCCCATCGATATTTCCTCCTTCATCCGAGTTCAAACGTCAAAATCGAGGAAGCAGTTAAACAAATAAAGTAGAAAACTAAAAGGTCGAGGTCCTCTATCCCGGAATGGAGTTTCTGGCAGTCTGGACGCATTTCCACCGTTCGGAAATGCGAAAGCTTTGGGGGAAAACCAAGGAAATTCGAGGTAAAAAGGAAGAAACGGAACAGAGGAGAAAACCGAACGAACCGGGCATACTGCCACGGAAAGCTAACACCCACTCTTGCACAAGGTCGTTAATGCTCCAAATGGACCAAGGGTTTGCGTCTGCTGAGTCGTGAATACACGTCGTTTTAGATTCCACATGAAGTGGGCTATCTAAATGCGTAGAACGTTGATGATAACGACATTTGTACTACTCCACTTTGTGACTATTTTTCACGTCCAGAATATTCCTTCTGTGGGATGATTCTGAGATGTCGTTGATGCGTTAAGCGTATTGTATCATTTATTGAAGAATTTTGAGTACTCGGATTTTTTTTTCTTTTCAATGGTTTTTCACGTTTTGAATTAAATCCACATGCAAAAATATTTTTTAATGATTTTATTTATTTATTTATTTATTTATTTATTCATTCATTTATTTATTGACATTTAATTCCTTTTTTCATTTTCAACCGTTGAACAATTTTCAAAGTTGATAAAAAAATGAAGAGGCTAGCTTCCAAAAAACATTTAGAAAATTATTAAATTGTTATTATTGGACAATAAATTGAAATGTTTTTACTACATTGTCTTCGTATGCATTAAAGCGTGATTAACTTTGATGAAATTATGATGAAAAATTTATTGTTGATAATTTATTCATGAAAAAGGTCATAATTTTGAGAGCTTGGATTTTTTTGTCTCACAAATTTTGATAAAAAATAGGCTTTTTAACTTTTTTATACTTTT